AGAATCGAGCATACATATTATGTTGTGTCCAGTAAAATGCACATAACCTCTCGCTCGGATATCCGTTTGGGCTCCACAATATATCATTGAAAATCTATTTAAAAGGTCTACAACTTTTATGTGTAATATTCTCCAAAATTCCCAACAGAACTCCACCCACGTGCGCGTCTACGCACTGGCCGCACATATGAGGCAGAACAGGGTGAAAAATGCACGGCCAAGTGCGCGGGCACACTTCCAGGTGCGCGGGCGCACACGTCCTGTCCGAAAAAAGTGTCATATTTCACGTAAGAGAAGGTGTATTTGTTTGGGCCCGACCCTACTTGGTATATATACTTGGAAAAATGATATTTTGAGGACTTTTGACATAATTTAGACCTAAGGAAGCTAAGGATAAGAGGGAGAAGCAAGAGCACAAGGATTTCACCATTCATCCTCACTCAAGACAAGGGTTTGGATGTTTTATGTTTTCCTTTGACTAAACATAATTGTGATGAATTTCTCCATATCCATGGAGTAATTCTTCCTTAGAGATTGAAGGATTTCGTGTTTTGAGAATTGTTTGTGGATATTAACTCTAGTTTTATGTATTGAAGCATTTTGGGTGTTTCTATTGTTGCATATATAAGGAAGAATTCACTTGTTTATGTAATAGAAAGAGGCATAATTTATGATGTTTTGCATTATCTTATTGGTTGAATTCATTGATTCTTGTTAGTAATCGAAAGAGGCTAGTTGAATTAATGTTTAGACCTAGTTAGGAGGATAATCGAAAGAGGTTCTCTTAAGGATCAATGCACTACGAATTCTTGCATATCTTCACTAAGCTTAACTTAGTTCATATCGTAAGGTTGAGACTTAATCGAGGTAGGAGTTTCTACTGAATGTTTAAACATAATAGAGTGAATTCGATAGACTCACTTGAACCACAGAAGTGAAGTAACTAGAGTTAATTCCCAAACAAGTATCTTACACCTATCCAATCAACCCATATTTTCTCCCATTGATAACTTCTTTGCTTACTCTTGTTGCAATTGTCATTAGCCAATAGTTTAGACTCTTAGTTAATTTTAGTTTTAATCACATAAATCTCAAATGTTGATCATCTTGGATAACAATCAAGTTATAAACTACAAAAATATTGTTTAACTCTAATCCCTGTGGATACGATATTTCTATACTATAGTCGAACAACCGGCGTCCCTCTTCGGCGACAGCTTGGGGGAGCCCAGTATTTTATCGACCCTTTCCTGGTGCTCTTTCATTTGATCTCGGAGTCGCAGAGCGTCCATGGGAGAACGTGACTATGGACTTTATCACTTGTCCACCGAAGTCCAACGGTTATGGTACTATTATGGTGTTCGTGGATAGATTCTCTAAACATGCCACCTTCATGGCCTCCTCACCAGGTTGCACAACTACAGAAGTTGCCAAGCTATTCTTTAAGAATGTATTCGACGTCCACAAAATCCAAGCATTGTTAGAAAACACGAACATTTTTTAGCCCTGCAGTTGTCGCAATTGCAACCTAAACTTTGCATTTGTGATGTCCCACCTATCGCAAAAGCGATCCTGTCTTCGCATTTGCGAAGTTCTCCAGTCCAGCCTCCTAGTCGCAAATGTGACACTTTGATCGCAAATATGATGCCCATCTACTCGCATAATTCTTGTGCGGACCGCACAACTTAGAAAGGGATAATGCAAACTCTCTTAAGTTTGGTCTGTCAGAGAAATGACCAATCTGTGGCCGCACATCAAATTCTGTGGTTTGCAGCGAAAATCTGCGGTCACACCATAAATTGTGCCGATCGCAAATCAACAAAGGCTATTGAGCCTCCGGGTAATAGAGTGCGGACAGTGTCCCGGGTGACTCGAGTGAGTTACAGACCGCCTGGAGCTAAGTCTAAAATGCTGTCACTGCTGGTTCTGGTTTCCTTCTTTGCGATTGCCTGGGTGGGGTCGCGTTCGCGAAGAAGGAATTAGGGACTGGGTGGTTTTCTTCTTCGCGTTCACGAAGTCATGGCCGTGTTCGCGAAGGCTTGGGACCTTTGGCCTTTGCGTTCGTAGCTGACATGTCACGTTCGCGTAGAGTTGAGGGCCTTGAATGTGTAAGTATGAATAAATTCAGACAGTGAAACTGCGAATGGCTCATTAAATCAGTTATAGTTAGTTTGATAGTATCTACTATTCGGATAACCATAGAAATTCTAGAGCTAATGCGTGCAACAAACCCCGACTTATGGAAGGTCGATGCGGGCTCTGCCCATTGCTGCGATGATTCATGATAACTCGACTGATCACACGACCATCGTGCCAGCAAAATAAGAACAAGAAAAGTAGCTGAAATAGGCATCAAATGGGCAATTAATTTGCTTCCTCGCTGGTGTCATCTTCGCCGGCATGGCCATCGTTGGGACTTTGAAGTTTGAATAGACTACTCTATTAAGTATTGGGTTTCTCACATGCCCATGTTACCATAATCCTATTTTTACGTAATAACATGTCTTTTCATTTCCTAAAAATTTGACTAGCGAGCATAATTTTGTGTTGTGTTTTTAGCTCGTCAGAGAACATAATTTGCAGGTTCGAAATAGCAAAGGAAATAGCCTGCAACAACGGGCCACAATTTATAGGCACAAAGGTCACAAAATTCCTTAAAGACTTGAAAATCAAAAGAATCACATCTTCGCCATACCAACTGAGGGCAAACGGCCAAGCGTAATAGACAAACAAAGTGATTATTCAAAATCTCAAAAAGAGATTGGAAGCAGCCAAAGGCAAATGGCCCGTAGAGTTACCGGGAGTGCTATGGGCATACCGAATGACGGCCAAGTCGAGCTCGGGAGAGACATCTTTCTCTCACGTATACGAAACTGAGGCCCTGATCTCGGTGAAAGTGGGAGAACCTACCATGAGATACTTTTAGGCGGACGAAAAAGCAAACAACGAAGCGTTGCTGGTTAGATTGGAGCTGCTCGACGAAAACAGGGACTTGGCACATATAAGGATGGTGGCCTAGAAACAAAGAATGGAAAGATCCTATAATCGAAGAGCCAATCTCCGTTACTTCAAAGTGAGAGACTTTGTTTTAAGGAAAATGAATCAAAACACCCGAGAGTTCAACGTATGAAAGCTAGGTCCAACATGGGAAGGCCCCTAACGGGTATCAGCTGTCACCGGGAAAGGATCATATGAACTGGATAATCAAGACGGAGTAAAATTTTCGAGCAACTGAAATGCGGCACACCTCAAAAGGTACTATTGCTGATGGGCACCGCTTATACTGAAAGTATATGCTGCACTCTTTTACCCTTCGTCTAGTTTTTGTCCCAATTGAGTTTTTTTAGTAAATTTTTTAACAAGGCAGCAATGGAAAGCATACTACGAAGGAAACGCTATCAACAGAAATAAGACCTTTAAATGACAAGGCATGGAAACAACAAGCCACTACAGGATGGTTAGATAGTCTTTGGCTTGATAGCAAAGTTCCTAACGGGAAACAAAGCTTGCTATCGGACCAAAAACTATCTAAACGTTCATGAGTGCCAATTCATTGCAAGCCACTGGGGGTGGTTAGATAATCTTTGGATCAGTAGCAAAGTTCCTAATGGGAAATAAAGTTTGCTATCAGACCAAATATTATCTAACCATTCACTAGTGGAATCTTCAAATGAGCAGGACTTCCAGTGTTCCAATTCGCATTCGAACACTTTGGGGGGGGGAGAGAAATGATATGAGAATATGGCAACCAAACTGCCACATAAACTAGGTCTACAAAATCCGGGAACAAGATGTATCATCGCGACCGGGGACTGCGCATCCAACCCCGTAGAAACAAGTTATACAAATTAGCCACAAGTAATGGCAATTTCTTTTCAGCACAACGAATACTTATGTATTTTTGAAAATGGGAGGAATAAAGTAAAGTCCTTTTATTTTATCATGTTTCTTGTCCAAACGATGAATTAAATTTGTCATTTGAAAGTTAATCAAGTACTTCAAATGCTAGTACCAGAATGAACATGAGACGTCCTCTTCAAGAGCACCATAAACATAAGAGGTCCCTCTCTTGTGAAACCCTCACGGTAAAAGGTTGGTTCCAGAAGAGTTTATGCCCGGAGCCCAAATGCTATCGGGGAACCAAAGCCTTGCATAATTCGACGCAAAAAAGTAAACTTTGTGCAATGCTTAAACAAAAAACACGTTTATATAGCAAACGCGCCAAGTAGCACAAATACAAAAGTATGAAAAGAAAACAAAAAATGGAAAAGAAAGTAAAAAACTAAAATATTGTGTCCCCATAACTTGGGGGATGAGAAACATCTACGCCCCCAGGAGAAGTGGGCGGATCTGCCGCCAACTTGGGATCTTGGCCTTCGTCGTCATCCCCTTCAATTTCTTCCTCAGTTACCGAGAACTCGGAACCGGAACTAGAAGAGTCAGTCGCATCGGGTTGAATCGGGAGGCACCTCCGAGCGGTTGATTCTAGCTCACGGGCCTTGGAGATCTTGGCATCAAAGTTAATGATGCCCATTTTGGCCTCTTCCAAGGTTTTTCTCCTCATGCTATACATTAAATATGTTTTCTCAACAATGATGGAATCCACTCAGCACTAGAGCTCTAACTTAAGCTGATCAACCTCGGTCAAAAGGCTATTTCGCTCGGACTTTGCGGCACTAAGGCTGAGATCAAGGTCACAGGTAGTAGAGATATGTACTTTATTGTGTTCCACGACCCTCTTATACCTTCCCTCCATTTAGGAATGCTTCTCTTCAACAGCAGCAACCTCTTCAGCTTTGGAGTCCAAGGCTACCTCCAAATTATTCAATCTTTCAATAGAGGCAACCTCGCACTCGGCAGCAGCAAGAACAATATTTTGGATGTTGGACCATTTAGACTTGGCTTCTTGAAATTGTATATTTAGCTGGGAGGCTTCTTGGGTAAGGGCCATCACTTCTTGATCGCTCTGCTATAACCGAGCCTCCAACGTACTGGCTTTGGCAACTTGTGCTTCCATCACTTCTTGATCGCTCTGCTATAACCGAGCCTCCAACGTACTGGCTTTGGCAACTTGTGCTTCCAGTATCGGGAGGCGAGCAACAATTTGGTCCCGCTCGACCAACAGTTGATCCCGCTTGGAAGTGAGTCTTTCTTTATCTAAGATCAACTTTTGAAGGCCCTTAGAAATAAGTAAGTTAGCCTGCAAAGCAAGAACTCAAATCATAAATCCTGTCATAACAAGTCAAAAAGAAACAAAGGAACAAATGTCATACCGCTGCTGTATTGTACATGGCATTGTTTATCATACACTCCCCCCAAAAGAGAGTGTATTTTCTTCTTATCTTTCTCTAAAGCCAGCGACTTTAGGTAATTGGTGAGTTTCACAGACCGGGACAACAGATAGCACTCGGTAGAAACCGATAAAGAGATGCTCCTCCTCCTCTGGGGATCTACAGAAGGGGGCGAATAGTTGTGCCCCAAATTCCCATAGTCTGGGGACTGGGGAGGGGGGACGTCCTCCTGTCGGGTATCTGCGGTCGGTGGGGGTGATGTAGCAGTTGCTAGTGATGAAGGTATGACTGGTGTAGAAGAAGATGAAGCTGATGGCTTTGTGGGTTGAGAAGCGGTTGCGGTAAAAGTAGTGCTGGTTGTCGGTTGCTTATCAACTGAAGATGGAAGAGGCCCGGTACTCAGCCTCATAGTACCGGGAGCAGTGACTGAGACTCAAAAGCGAGATTTGGCATTCTCCACTAAGTCACACACTTCCCATAGCGCTTGGACGTCGTCCTTAGTTGGCATTATAAGCTTTTCAGATTGAGCATTTTGTTGAGCTGAAGAAGATCGTTATCTCATTTGTAGGGAAGCCTCTTCATCACTGGCTTCCCCATCATCATAAATCACCACAGTGGTTGTGGCTAGCTCGGGCGCGACGTTCTTCACCCTTTTGTTTTTGCCCTTGGCCGAAGAAGAACGTCGCCTTTTTAGTTGCTTGTTCTCCGGTCAGGGACTCCGAGAGAAAGCACCTGCACCGAAAGCGGGTCCGATGGCGCCTGTTCGGGTGAAGCCCTCCTTCAGCAACCTCGCAGCCTCTGCGGGATCAGCCAAAACGTCCTCCCCGGGGATGGTAACAGAGCCCTGAGGAAGACCTGAATTTAACGGAAGAAGAAGTTAACCAATTTTCTTATACATAAGGTAAAAACAAAATTAGTTTCGAGAATCAACTTATCTTCCACTCGTATTTGAGGGCCAGTTCTTTCCACCTGTGTGTCTCAGGCGTGGTAATATCCAAAATCTTCTGGACCCACTGGTCTAAGCCTTAAACCCTTGGTGGTGTCCACCGAGTTGCTGAAATAATAAAAGAAAAGGATCAGTAACAACATGAAATAACCTTTCATCAGAGAAAAGACAGATGTTGAACTTACATGTACAAGTCCATGACTCAGGGAAAGATGGAGTTATAACCGGGATGATATCCCTGGTGGCAACTACAATGAATCGCTTCATCCATCCACGATAGTTGTCATCATCCATGTTGTTGAGCAAAGCATGGTGGCCACGTTTACTAAAGTTTATTAGTCCCCCACGAAAAATCTTAGGGGAGTAAAGGTTTATCATGTGAGCCAAGGACAGATCTTCCCTCGTCTCCTGGCATAGTTGCCGTAGACAGGCTACTGTCAACCACACATAGGGGCTCACATGTGGCAAGAAGATTTGATACCGGTAGCAGAACTCCAAGATTACGGGGTCAAGTCCCTCGCTCAATGAGAATGGTCCCAAAGTGAATGGGACGTGTAAACATACGTAAAACCCTTCTTAGGGAAGGTTATTTGCTCCGCCAGATTGGGAGCGATAATGTTCAGATCATGGCAACCATAATCCTCCTTCACAGCGGGAATGCTAGAAGGATAGATGAAAAAAGGGTATACGCCAACAACCCATGTACGAGAGTTGGTAGAAGGAACCTTCTCTTCAAAAATCCTTGGCTATACCGAGCCTTCTGGGAATGATGGTGCTCACCGTATGAGGGGAAGCAACATTAGTGCTTACTTTGTTTTTTAGAGAGCTTGAGTTCTTGGAGTAGGAGGCCATGATTAGCAGAAGATAGTAAAAGTTCTTTGAAGAAGAAGATTAAAAGCAAGAAAGAGTTAAGTGCAAAGAAGTTGAGAGAATTTTGAAAAATTGTAAAGTGTAAAAAAGGAAGAATAAGACGTATAAGTAAAGGAATATGCGGCTAAAATCGTGATCATGATTATCTCGAGAACCTGCAAAAGTATTGCTAAATCATGGAGTGACGCGTGTTCGGAGCATTAAATGCGGAGAGATGTGCGTCTAACCAAGCACCAGAAATTTTTCAGAGGGAATCAGAAAATTTTTCGCCAAGAAAGGTATCTTCACCAACTTCCCGATAATACAAAGATGTGCCACCGAAAGCAGCGAGACTATCTGTATAGGGTAAAATCGGTTCGTATTAAATATTCGAATAATAAAGTGACACGTGGAACAGGAGGCAGACGAAAAGCGATGCAAGAAGAAATCAAGACCAGGGACAACAACTTCGGTTGGCACCGGAAAGACCCCGAATGGAATATTGCTAATGAAGACAAACGAACGCTTGCCACCCGATGACATTCAATGAAGAATATTCTTAAATACTAAATACACAATCCGTTATAGAGAATTTTGGCATTCATGGCATGTCGTTACACATTCATCAATGGCCCATGTAATTGTCATTTAAGAGGGGCTTGATCGTAGAACCTTGTTCCCTAGGTGCAGCTAAAATAGTGATTTCAACAGCCATTGTAAGGGACGTGAATTTTCTGACAAACTTATACTATATACTATTCAAAAGCTGAAGCATACTTTATTTCCTGTCTATTGATATTTTTATTATTGCCTTCAGAAGCTCTGCTCCCGGAACCAGGCTACTTGCTGCCTTACCTCGGTTTCAACGTTAAGTCTTGCATTTTATTTAATTTATTTATCATTTTAGGATCAAATCGATCCGCTTATCTATAAACCACATTACAAATTTAATTGTACCATTTTACGGATAAACACACTCAAGTTTTAATTCATCTTATTTAATTTTTTGATTAAATTAGTCGAACTCTCTGTTTTTCCTTCTTAAACCCATTTATTTTGGGCCTACCGATCCCCGCAAAGCACTTAAAAAGATGCTAGTAACAACCTTTATTTTTCATTACACAGACTAGTTTATAGTGCTACTGTATTTAGTTACAAATGTATAAAAGAAGCCAATCGACTTATTTATACCATATTAATAACATCAACAACAACATAAACAGACAGGCTAGTACTCAATATAATACAAACGTATAGTACAAACTCAACATCATCAGCAACAAATCTCTTCAAAGAATGTGATTCAATGAAATAAAACAACCACCATAGAAAATAATACTGAAAAACAAACCAATGCGCCAGAAACTAGAAGCCCGAATCCGTCTCCGGTGTCCATAGGTGGTGTTGGCGCCATTGCAGCGTCTTGTGCTACGGTGGCCGACGAGAAAAATAGCATAATTACCATGGCCATGGCAAGCAGAAACTTGATAACTGAGTTACCATATTGTGCCATTTTTTGTTGTTATTATTGGGATTTGTAACAAGTTTGGCTTATAGTTTCGAACAGCAAAAGAACTGGATTTGGAATTGGCTAGCAGCTGCTGGAGAATTGTTGTTTGAATAGGCACAATTTATACTTCTCTCTTTGGCTAAAGACTCAATTTTTATGTTCTTTTTTGGGTGAAAATTTAAGGTATAGTCTTTCTAGTCACGGTTAGTGGGAACCACAAATGTGAATCTCAGGTGGGAAGTAGTCCTCCCATCTTACTGTGGGTCTCCACTGAAACCTTACATTTTGTTTTTCATTTTAGCATTTTATTAGTATTATTTTTCATCCGGTTATGTACTTACTTTTATGACTCAACTAATTTGGATTCACCCCGAAAAGTCTTACTTTGAAGGATAAAGTGTTCCTTACCAAAGACAATTAATTTTCGAATATAATTTTTTTTATTAAATATGAAGGAATACTTACCACGTTAAGTTTTCATCACTTTGACGGTGATATCTTACTTATAATAGCTATTGGGTCCAATAAAAAGTTGTGCCTTCTTTTTGTACATTTATTTAGTATTTAACTTATGTTCACAAACGGTTTAATAAAAAAATTATACTTTCAGTGTAATTTAAATTGTTCTAAAAGATTTACTACCTTTTACTCTTAGTGCAATTTAAGTTGCTTTAAAAATCCGTTATCTTATTTTCAAATTATTAGTTTCGTTTATTGTGAATAATATGTGTAATTATCTTTTGGATGACCTTATAGTATAATATATTTATATATTATTGGTGTATAGAAGTTTAACTTTTTATTTTTGCCGTTAACATTTAAGATCGTGAGGAGCTGGATGCAATGACGTGGATACAACGATGACCGTCCGATTGGGAATTCGGTAAGAAGTAAGTTTCTTGTGGTCATCGTCACAACAATAAAATTGACAGTTGAATTTCTTCCAAAGAACAGTTTGTCTTTGTAATGCGAGAGAATAGAGTAGCATCTGTCTTGGAAAAATTGACACTATTTATATTGTTAAACATTTTTTAAACTGGTTCAAATATTTTAGAAGTGTTTTTAGTTATATGATACTTTGATTTTTTATACTTTTATTTATCTAAGTTCCGAATTGTATATGGTGAATATGATATGACACGTGATCGTCTAAAGAGAGGACACGTAGATCCAAGATGGGGATAGCCGAAGACCGAACGCAGTCATTCCGCTTGTCACCGGAAAGGATAACGTTCATAAAGGTGTGTTAAAGGAGGACACGATCCTATGACCTCTTTCCCTAGATATAGTTATAAATAGTAAGCTCTGTTGTCATTGTAAATGACATAAATTTTCTGGCAAAACTTATATTGTATTCTATACAAAGTTTAATACAATTTTATTTTCTTGCTTTTTGATCTCATCATTACTGTGCCCGAAAATCTTGTTCCCGGAACTGTCATATCTGTTATTTCATCTACATTTCAAGGCTAAGTATTATACATTTCTTCAATTATTACATTATTTCAGGATCAAATTAGTTCACTTGTCTAGAAACCACGTACAAATTCAACTGTACCGTTTTACGGGTAAACACAAATAAAATAAATTTGTTTAAATAGAAAACTTTGTTTAAATTCCCGCTTAAACCTAAATTTGTTAACACTTTGTATTGTGAACTCATAGTTTCGCAATGGTGGGTACTCTACTCGAAGTACAATGACATGAATAGAGTAATGCGATAAAATTCTACTAAAGCTCGGGTTGAACTGTTGAAGTTTAGAAGAGATGGGTAAAACTAGCATAAATTGATAATTTTCCTTTTTAAAATGTTGGTTAAGCCTTACTTTTGCTATTTGTACTAAAATCTTTTATCCCACCTCCATTTGACTCTGGAATCTAAATCTACAAGCTGAAGGTAAATATGTTTCACTAGCAGAGCTTACTCCTCTTACCTATTAAATCTAAACCCAAATATAAAGGACGATTTTTGTAAGCCTTAGTTTTGCTTACACTAACATCTTTTATTCCACCTCCATTTGACTCTGAACTCTAAACCTACCAGTTGAGATGAATATGTTTCACTAAAGAATAAAAATAATAATAATAATAATAATAATGTTTCACTAGCAGAGCTTACACTTCTTGCCTATTAAATCTAACCCCAAATATACGAGATGATTTTTGTTATTAAAGAAAAAGAAGAGAAAACTAAGAGAGATTTTATCCATGTGATCTTCACTACCAATTAGATTACTCGACATTATTGTCAACCTAACGTTCATGATGTCCCAATTTAATTCCTGAAGAAAATTTCTGGAAAGAGCTTTCGAGTACATTCATATACATTTTTGGTAATGAGCATTAGTTGAAACCTACTCAAGATTGAACTTTCATAGTACTCAAATGTTACAACATTTTCCCTTTCACCAGTGTCTATCAAGACTATCCTCTTTAAAAAGGAAGGTTGTAGATTGAATGAAAGGGAGTTGATTTTATTAATGAAGTTGGACAGTGGAAAGTGAAGCTCACGAAGCAAGTTTTTGAG